CTCCCTTGTCAAAAGGTGAGTTTGCCAGGCAGCTGGAGGAGAAGGACGCCTTGGTCTCCCAGCTGACCAGAGGGAAGCAGTCCTACACTCAGCAGATTGAAGACCTCAAGAGACAACTTGAAGAGGAAGTGAAGGTATATCAACCATTAATGCAGTTTCCAGACAGACATTACATTCATTTGACAGTCTACTTATCACAGCTTATACTATTACCATACAGGCCAAGAATGCACTTGCCCATGCAGTGCAGTCTGCCCGCCATGACTGTGACTTGTTGAGGGAGCAATATGAGGAGGAGCAGGAGGCCAAAACTGAACTCCAACGCAGCATGTCCAAGGCAAACTCTGAGGTGGCTCAGTGGAGAACAAAGTACGAAACTGATGCCATACAAAGGACAGAGGAGCTGGAAGAAGCAAAGTAAGAACATTTACCTCTTCTTCAACAGCACAGACATGATTTTGAGAAGGACTAAGAATTATTATTATTATTTTAATATGTCCTTGTCAAATAGGAAGAAACTGGCCCAGCGTCTGCAGGATGCAGAAGAAGCTGTAGAAGCTGTTAACGCTAAATGTTCCTCCCTGGAGAAAACCAAACACAGGCTTCAGGGTGAGATTGAAGATCTCATGGTGGATGTGGAGAGATCAAATGCTGCTGCTGCAGTTCTCGACAAGAAACAAAGAAACTTTGACAAGGTAATGACATGAAATGGCAGGGACTCATTGCAGACTTTGGTACAGAATAAATGTCTGTATACACCAAGATTAACACAATTTAATATACAATTTAACCAGGTCCTTTCTGAGTGGAAGCAGAAGTATGAGGAGGCCCAGACTGAGCTGGAAAGTGCCCAGAAAGAGGCTCGTTCTCTCAGCACTGAGCTCTTCAAACTGAAGAACTCCTATGAAGAATCTCTGGATCATCTGGAGACCATGAAACGAGAAAATAAGAATCTCCAAGGTAGGAAGATATAATAAAACAGTATTTGTCTTTTAATATACATTAATTATGGTTGTGTGGTTGGAAAAACAGTAAAATAAATGAATATGCACAAAACAGAGGAAATTTCTGACCTGACTGAGCAACTTGGTGAGGGAGGAAAGAGCATCCACGAGCTGGAGAAGATCCGTAAACAGCTAGAGCAGGAGAAGGCTGAGATACAAACTGCTCTGGAGGAAGCTGAGGTGAGAGTTTATTCAAGTTTATTTATTAATATAGCTTTGTTTTTATTTTCAAAGAATATGCAAATTAATGGAAGAGACACTTCTTACAGGGCTCTCTGGAGCATGAAGAGGGTAAGATTCTTCGATCTCAGCTTGAGTTAAACCAGGTGAAGGCTGACATCGAGCGAAAGCTGGCTGAGAAGGAGGAGGAGATGGAGCAGGCCAAGCGTAACAATCAGAGAGTTGTGGACACTCTGCAGAGCTCTCTGGAGTCTGAGACTCGCAGCAGAAATGAGGCTCTCAGAGTGAAGAAGAAGATGGAGGGAGATCTCAATGAGATGGAGATCCAGCTGAGCCAGGCCAACAGGCAGGCAGCAGAGGCTCAGAAGCAGCTCAAGGGAGTCCATACTCATCTGAAGGTACTATAGATGGTCATCATTGATGGAAGTATGTTTCTGCATTGTTTTCTTCCTCCTTTTAATTATTGAAATAAAGATTTAAATATTTCCAAAACGCCTTTCTGAACAGGACTCACAGCTGCAGCTGGATGATACTCTCCGTGCCAATGATGATATGAAGGAGAACATTGCCATTGTGGAGAGACGTAACAACCTGCTGCAGGCTGAACTTGATGAGCTGAGGTCTGTGGTGGAGCAGACTGAAAGAGGTCGTAAACTGGCTGAGCAGGAACTGCTGGATGTCAGTGAGAGAGTTCAGCTGCTGCATTCTCAGGTATGTCCAAATCTGTAATCACTATACAGTATAATAATTAGCCAATATGTCCTGAGTAATTTATGTTTCAAGTGTAAAACACTTTTCTGCAGAACACCAGCCTGCTGAACCAGAAGAAGAAGCTGGAGGGAGACACAGCTCAGCTTCAGAATGAAGTGGAGGAGGCGGTGCAGGAGTGCAGAAATGCTGAGGAGAAGGCGAAGAAGGCTGTGACTGATGCTGCCATGATGGCAGAAGAGCTAAAGAAGGAGCAGGACACCAGTGCTCACCTGGAGCGTATGAAGAAAAACATGGAACAAACCATCAAAGACCTGCAGCACCGTCTGGATGAAGCTGAGCAAATAGCCATGAAAGGTGGCAAGAAGCAGATCCAGAAGCTGGAGGCCAGGGTAAGTGCCACATCATTTTTCAGATGTGGACATGATGCTTGGCTTCTATGACACTGTAACATTGTTTTCATAGGTAAGGGAACTGGAAGCTGAGGTGGAAACTGAGCAAAAGAAGGGCGGTGACTCTATTAAAGGAGTCCGTAAATATGAGAGACGCATCAAGGAGCTTACCTATCAGGTATATTGTGAATACTTAATGTAATCTACTTCAGTCCAATAATATTAATTAAGTGTCAGTTGCAAAATGCATGACTCTGCTTATTCAACTCTGGGAAGACTGAAGAGGACCGGAAGAATCTGTCCCGTCTGCAGGACCTGGTAGACAAACTGCAGCTGAAGGTCAAATCTTACAAGAGGACTGCAGAGGAGGCTGTAAGTATGGGTGTATTCTGATATTACAGGTGGATATCTTGCTCCCATACCTTTTTAAATACTTAACCAAAACCAATAATGTAACAGGAGGAACAAGCTAACAACAATCTAACCAAGCTCCGTAAACTGCAACATGAACTGGATGAGGCAGAGGAGAGGGCTGACATTGCTGAGTCGCAGGTCAACAAGATGAGAGCCAAGAGCCGTGATGCTGGATCCAAGGTCAGTAAGGCAACAGTGTCATATATATTTCTGTGGGGGGTTTTTCACTTGGAACTGATGATCAAAACAACATGGACACTGTGTATTATAGCATACAGTCTATAACTTTGTATATACAGTAATAATATTGTTTTTTGCATACAATACATATACTGTCAATGCAATGATTGCACATCTTATCACTGTCATTCATTGTCTTACACACAGAAGGGACATGATGGAGAATGAAGTTCTCCGCTGGAACCTTCAAAGCCTCTGCATTAAAGTGCCTTAAAACTATATCTAAGCAAAATAAAGAATAAAGCATATTAAGAATCTAAATCTCTCTCTGTGTTTCCACAGTTTTGTTAAATGCACTGTAGTGGGTAGGTGTGAAAACAAGACACAGTTACGAGTGCTCATCTTCTGTCACGCACTTAAAAGTCTTATTTGCCCATAGATCAAAATGTGAGTGTAACTGTGCTTTTCTGTCTGCGTACGTTAGCTCTCACATACCATTAGCTTTTAGTGGGTATAGATGATGGTTGGATTGATGTATAATAAAATATTATTGAATTGTATCAATGTTCCATTGAATTAAAAACCACCCACTATTCCAAACCATGGGAAACAATTTACATGACAGTACAAAATACACCAAAAGCCAGCGACAGTGACAACAGTATAGATATACAGTATCTAAAAAGTGTTATATTAAAAAATAAAAAACACACACACATCTCTATATATTGTGGTTGCTAGCTATATATCCTGTGATGCTGAGGGGGCCAAAAACAATTGCCTCTGATATTTCATATCATTGGCATAGCAGTGAAAGGAGACATTGTGCTTGTGGAATATGAAGCTTAAAGGGTGCAAATAAAGATCAATAAAATTGGCCCTAGAATGGAACCTTGAGGTACTCCACAAGTTATAGGGGCAGTAAAGGAGTGGCTGCCAATATTTACTGAGAAGTTCCTGTCATGTAAGTAGGATGTAAACCATTTAAGAACAGTGCCCTGGATGCTAACCTGGTCCCTAAGATGGTTTAAAAGAATGCAATGATCCACTGTATCAAAAGCCGAGCTGAGGTCTAACAATTAAAATGGCACAATTACCACAGTCTCAAGACAAATGTCTTTAAGAAGGGCAGATTCTGTAACCCTAAAACCTGAATGAAATTTCTCCATAATGTTATTATTATCTAAGTAAGAAAAGCTGAGCGTAAACCATGTTCTCAAGTACACTGGACAGGAATGAGAGCTTGGAGATGGAATGAAAATTTTAAAATTGCTACGCTCTTTTCTTCATGGTAAGGCTTTTTGATAAGAGATTCAACTATTGCATGTTTGAACCAGGATGTGATCCTACAGTGCCCAATACTTATTTTAAAAAGTATGTAGGAACAATTTCTGTGGGACAGGTATAAGATTTTGTGTGCAAATTTGTGTCATAAATGACCTGGCTGAAAGACATTTAGGAGGGGGGGCAGACACCACTGAGGGATCAGACTAAGGTGGTGCTATATTCAGTTGAATGGATCGATTTTTGTAGTGACAAAGTTTAAAAAGTCCTCACAAATGGACAGCAGTACATTTTATGTAGTGAAGATTGTTTATGTTAACCTTTTTAAAAGTGTAATGAGGATGGGAAATCCTATCTGATCTGTGACAGTCTGAATAGGGAGATGAACCAGTGGAAGTATTGATGCTAAAGGAGGACAGTAGGGGGGGGCAGTGTTGCAAGCAGTGGCCTGAGTTACAGGTGAGGAGGGAGGAGGGGCTTCCAGGGTGTCACGTGTAAACAGTCATGTGGAGAGGACTGCAAAATTCGATTTTCGATTTTTTAGGTTTTTTGGCATACATTGTTAAATAAGGGTACAATATGATTGGGGGTGTTATCTAAAATAGTGGAAAAAAGTATTTCATTTGGACTAACAATGTATCATACTGTATAAGTGAAAGCAGTTACTCATAATGACAAACCAAAAGATGATGACCATTTTAAATTCCTCTCGCTTTTTAACTAGAATGAAATATGTCAGCAATCACTGCATCAAGCGCAATTCATTTTTTGGATGTGGAGTATGGACCACTCATGACTTAAAGTAGAAAAAGACATTCAACTGTACACTCACTGCAAATCATAGCTCAGCCAGAAGTTATATTTATTTAAGTCATTCCTGCACCATAATATGATTGTTGAGTAAACCAAGAACATGAAAGTAATACTGTAGAATATTTTAGAATTAAAGGAATGAGACATGTTTTCCCTTTATGGTGAACATGACCTCTTGCCCTTCTCCTTCATGAAGCTTCAATCTCAGTCTCTCTGTTGACATCGTCTGCTTCTACTGCGTCCTGTGGAAATGAAACAACACAGAGAGAGAGTGGTGTTAGTGCTCTGCAGTGAGTTTAATGCAGCTGGAAGAGAAATGCCAGCAGCTCCTTGAGCTTGTTTTGGTAATTCGAAGCCTAATATAAAGTGAGATTAACTCTCCTTAATGAAATTTGGCCCATTGCATTCTGGTCTACAGTCACTGCTGTTTATGGAGACATGGATATCTAAACATCATTGTCTCTGAAGGATTTCTTCTGTATGACTGTTGAACATTAATCTTCAAAGACGCCTACAAAGAAACCTTTGCTCTTTTATAACTGGAGCTTTTTCTCTGTTTTCTTCAAAGATAATTTCTTGTTGAAAGAATAATGTACCTGTCCTCATCTAGTAGCTTACCTTCACTGGTTTGTTGCAGAATTTTGATCTAAACCACATGAAAGAAAAGGAGATGAATGAATAACCATGAATAAAAGTTAAACATGAACTTCAAACATTTCAAAGAGATCAATAAATCTTTATCTGCAAATGATCATATCATAGAAAAGTTATTCTCACCACTCAAAGATGATGATTGTACTGCAGAGCATTACGATTCCCAGGATCTTCACATAGACAAAAACCCCAAACTCTGGATTAACTGTAACAAGACAGCATGGTCACCTTCTCCTTAATGGAAAACATTACAGCTCTAAGACATCCTGAACTTTACATCACAAATCACCCTATTCTTTATAAAGCAAAATAAAATGTCTAACGTGAAGCATTTAGAGTCAAACTGAGTCAGTTGAAAAGCTTTCAGAGCATCTTTCCATGAATCTCACAAAGCTGAATTTCATTATCAGAACACACTTTATTCAACAATTAAAGCTTTTCACCCACCACTTCATAATGTGTGTTCATCAAACAAAGAAATGAAGCTACACAGCAGGAAAAAATCTTATTCGGTTCTACATTTACCTGCACTGTTCAAATTAATCCATGATGATGCCTGAGCACCAAAATCATTCATTGCCACACAGTAATAAACTCCTCCATCTGTCACATTGAAGCTGTAAAACGGTCCTTCAGATACATTCATGGGTCCATCTTTGCTGTTCTTGAACCAGGTGAAGCGGCTGACGGGAGGCTTGGCTCTGCTGGAGCAGGTCAGGTTCACCCAGCTACCTGCTGACACCAAACCTGATGGACTGACGGACACTGAGGTGTCTTTAGGAGCATCTGAGGAAAATGTGAGATTAACTTTATTCATTAAAAATCAGCTGACATCCCATGAATCATCATGTGCTGACAGGACCCAATAACAAACTCTGGTTGTCTTACATGAAACACTGAGAGTCTTTCTCTCCTCTGCTGTCTTGTTATCTTTTCCTTCATTCACAGGATATCTGACAGAACAGGTGATGTTGTATCCATCATGTTGGTCTGACAGAGTGATGCTCTCCTGGATTTTAGTTGTGAAGGTTCCATCTGTGTTTTCCTCTATTTGGTTGTGAGAGTCTTGTTGGAGATTCCAGGTGAGTTTAGGAGGGGAGTGTGGACAGGGAGTGAAAGCTGAGCAGGTTATAGTGACAGGCTCCTCGTCCTTCAGATCACCTGAGATCTCAATTGTGGGGCTTGGAGGAGAATCTGTGGATTCAAGTTTAACACATTTCACATTAGAAAAAGACTTAAAATACCTTAACAGTAAAATTAAATTAAATTCAATCATAAAGTATAAGGCATTCTTTATTTTCATTGTCCAAAAGAGATGAACTAAGTCACAACAAGCTCAACTCCCTTTAAGACTTTAAATACTCGGTGCCGGAATCTGAAATGCATTAAATCATAAAACAACTTTTTAATATTGCCACGGATGTTTTGGGCGAAATGCCCTTCTTCACCGTGTATTATGACAGTTTCACAATGAGTATCCCCAGATGGGATTACTTATAGGTTAACACAACCGGCACAACGAGTACATCCCAGCAGGTGGAGCTACAACATTTGCAGTCACATGATGCAAAATACATCAGCCTTTATACAATGCAATGTCAACACACTGTAGGTGCTGTGGTAAACACAGCGGCACCATTTGTTGGTAAAACAGTATATTAAAAGGGCACCAAACTGTCTTGGTGCAATCAATTCATTACTTTCAGTAGATTAAAAACTTCAATTCTTTGTTGTGAGTTTGTCGTTTTATTGACCTCGACATGACATCACCAAGTTTAATCAATCAGATTATGTTCACAGGAAGTGACCTCTTTGACCCAACAACACACAAACACACACACACACACACACACACACACACACACACACACACACACACACACACACACACACACACACATTATGACCACCTGGGCACCCTGGTGGTCAGCCCCCATACCAACAAACTGTGATGCACTGTGTGTTCTTTGATAGGTACTGACCACTGCAGACTGGGAGAGCTGCAGTTTTAGAGATCCTCTGACCCAGTAGTATAGCCTTCACAATTTGGCCATTTTCAAAGTTGCTCAAATCCTCACTACTCATTTTTTCTGTTTCTAACACATCAACTTGAGGACAAAATGTTCACTTGCTGCCTAATATATCCCACCCACTGACAGGTGCCATGATAACCAGATAATAAGTGTTATTCACTTCACCTGTCAGTGCTCATAATGTTACGGCTGATCGGCGTATATACATTATAGACGTGTGTGTGTTGCACTGTGTGAACCTCCTGATCATATAGGTAGGTATATATGGAGGAAATAATCTACAGAGACAGTGAGCATCATATAAAGCATCAACTACTTACTGCAGTTCTGCTTTTAATACCTCTTCCTAAAAAGAAAATGAATGATTCATAGACCATAAATTCTGTGTTTTTAAATACTAAAGCTGACATGAAAGCTTACAGTTTCGTATTGAAACCGCAAAAAGTATTGATAAGACTTTGTTCTGCTTTTCAGTGTAGCAAGACATTTCAAGAAAAAGAAGAACAATAAAAGTCAAACTGTAACAACAGACTCAGTGTTTAAAGTGAAAAACCTCCAACGTGTGCTGTTTAGGCCAAAACTGTAACTGATTTCACTTTTTATTCTAAACAATAACATTATAGAGTGACTGAAAGAAACAAAGCTCTCTTACCTTTAACTGTTATTTGAAGAGGATCACATTCAGCTGTTGCCCTGCATGGGTTGTTCTCAATTCTGAAGTAGTATGTGTCTGTATAACTTGTGATTAAACTGGAAAACAGAGTGGTGCAGTTTTTCTGACTCAGGTTTCCAGTAATATTCATTGGATACGTGTTAACTGTCTTACTACTGTTGAAAATCACATTCTTTGGATTATTGCCAAAATAGGAATTAGTTTTTATCCAAACTCCAAAGGTTTCTCTTGTGCTGTCAAAATCTTGTTCTGGTTCATGTCTTAAGTTACATGGGATTTGCAAACAAGATCCACTCAGTGCTTCCATCTTCTTTGGTGCAGTAATGAAGAGCTTTGACCTCTGAGGGCAATCAGCCAAAGCACCTGTAAAATCAGACTCATGATGAACAAAATGTGGAAAAAATCAGCATGAAGAGAAAGTTCATGATAAACAAATCAGCAGTGTGTTGCATGCTGGTCTTTTCCCCTGTCCTGTTAACAATTTCTATATAAAACATTTCACTTTGCAGTCAGGACATGAACAGTTGGAAAAAGTAACTCTATCTGCACTGGTCTTTCTGCTTTGTTTCTAAATGAAGTCCAAACTGTAAATGATTAACGTCTCCAAATAAAAGTGACTGAACAAACAGCTCACCTGAAAGAAAGAAGACACTCAGTAACATGTTGGCTGTCACCATATTCACAGACAGGACTGCAATCACACTCATCACCTGCATCTGAAAAAAAGTTACTCTTCAATATTTGAATCAAAGCATCTTTTAAACAAATCCTTCATGTTGTTTTAAAGCAACCTCAGATTCACACATTCAAACCAGGAACTTGCCATGTCCAACCAGAAGTTCAAACATAAAAGCAGTTACATTTGACCTTACCAAACGAGCCTGCAGATAAACCGGAGAAACAATTAGTTTTAAAATCAGACAATCTGTGAATTTCAGCAGAACTGCAACAGACCCAGTAACAGACTTCCCTGCTAAGCCGCTGTAACATAAAAGCAAACAGACTTGTTGTTTCAAACTAGATATCACACGATTAAAATACTGCAGCAATACAAGACGGCTTCACTCTTCCTGTTCGCACCCTGTGAGTGAGGAAGTCAGCTTTTGTTGCATCTTAACCTTATTAGGGTGCAAATGAATTACTCAGAGATTATTTTTAACACATGACACACTACAAGTCTATATGATTTATCTTCTCTACTGGCAGAAATGAATATAATATTCATAGGTATGTTTTCTTTAGTCTATAATTAGTTGAATATAGTAAAAGTTTTGTTTTTGTTACCTTAGAATGAGACGTTTTTATCTACAGATGCAGCCTGTCACCTTCCATGGAGTCCGCCATGTTGAAGCGCCATGTTTCTACAGTAGCCCAGAACAGACAAACCAATCACTGACTCTACATAGGGACTTTTGCGTTTTTTGGGGCCTCCATATCTTCTCCTGCTCACTTCTCAACCCTTTTTTCCTTCATTCTCAGGTTGTCGCCGTGAGTGGTGTTCAGTTAGTTGCAATCTGCAACTTCACGCCTTGATGCCTCTAAAGCCCTCACACTGGTCCTTTAATATTTAGGTGAACAGTAGATATAAAATGTACACATGTAATATACAGAAGGCGTTTTATATATATATATATAGTAGTTTAGTTCTTGTAGAACCCTTTTGATATTATAAAAGAAGATGATTAGAGACCATCAGTACAGACAATCAGTGTTTTATTAGACAAATATGCAGGAAACTTCCTGTTTATTTATAGTTATCAACTTTGTCTCAGTTCTCTTTTTACAACTTCATCAGTTTACATCCCTCCTCTTCACCACCTCTCTCTGGCCCTCTCACTGTGGTTTACTAACCAGATACTTATAAAGTTCTATTTCATACATGTTGGTAGCAGAGTTTTTATCACTGCTGCTCTGTAATAACGAGTGGATGAGAGAACCTAAGTGATTAAAAAGCTTTGTTCTCTTCAAATACAGAATTTAATGTGTTTTAAAAAAAATGTAGCCATCTACACATTTACACATAACCAATCAGAATGAGTCTTCATCCTTCCTCTTCACACCATGAGCGAGGAAGTCTGCTTTTGTTGCAGCTTAAACTCACGAGGGTGCAAACAAACTACTACTCCTACTCTTAATAATAATAAAAATAATAATACTACAAGCTGTCTTTATTTAGCACCAGGCACACACACATACCACAGACCAAGGCTTGCTGTCATATCTCATATGTCACAGATAGCTTACCCTGCCACCTACTGGCAAGTGCAGTAATAGATTACTGAACAAATAACTAAAACAAAATGTACAAAAAGTATTTTCTTTTTTTTTTTTACAGGTGCCTCAACATTAGCATTCATTCATTAGGGGCGGCTGAGGCTCAGAGGAAGAGCTGGTTGTACACTAATCTGAAGGTTGTTGGTTTGATCCCCGGCTCCTCCCACCACATGTCGAAGTGTCCTTTAGCAAGACGCTGAACCCCGAATTGCACCCGATGCTGTGCATTGGTGTGTGGATGTGTGTGAAAGGGTGAATGTGAGTGAATGTGTGTGAAAGGGTTAATGTGGCACGCAGTGTAAAAAGCGCTTGGTAAAAAGTGGTTGGAAGACTAGAAAGGCGCTATACATGTACAGGTCCATTTACCATTTACACATTAACCTTTAAAGGTTATAGCAGTATACAACTCATAACTGCAACATTATAGATACCTCTCTACACTGTAAAAATTAGTTGTGCCCATTAGTCATGACAACTTCTAATTCCTTGTCAGTATGACTACAAATTATTGAAACAGTTGTGATAACTCAGAATTTTGTGTTTATGTCTCCTCAACTAGTGAAAAGTTTTCAAACTAAGAAACATGATTCAATTGAAATTAAGAATGTCAGTCAAAAGGATGTACGGATAATCGCCTCTGTCATTGGCTGACGTAGGCACGTTCAACTAACGTCTCCAAACAAAACGTTTCTGCTGTCCGCCATTTTCTCTCTTTCACCACTTCCAAATCTGTTCGGTAGTTTGGATTACCCTGCTGGAATCTGAGATAACTAAGATAGCTATAATTATAATTTATATTATAATAAATGTTTAGCCTTTTATTTGCATTAATCACCAGAAGCAACCAGATGGTCCTGCTTCTGTTCAGATGGCATTAATGTCGTTTGGAACAAAATTCTAGCTCAGCAAAACCTATATCAAAAGATATTTGAAAATAAAAGAGAGAGAACAATATTTTTCAAAGCCTTTTCTTTAACTTCGCGCGTGACCCCTCCTCCCTGTCTGTCAGTGAGCTAGTTTCAGCCCAGCTCGGATGCATTGTTTTTTACAGGTGATATCATTACACTAGAAATCCCAGCATGTAAGATGTAATTTGTTTTTCTTCTCAGGATGTATGAAGAACATGTCAGTGGTGATTGTATATTTTCAACTTATACAACTACTAATGCTAACACGTAGTAGCACTGTTATCAGCAGCAACCTCACTAACTCACACACTCTTACTGTTCCTTGCACAATTTATCTCTCCCTCATTGTCTCACTCTGCCACTCATTCATATACTTTCATTCAGAGCACCATTTTGAGAGAGTGAACAAACTGTTGCTTGTTAAATGAAATGAACTTAATTGATCCATAGATTGTTATTAAAGTGAGGTATCCTCATGGCCACATCTACTTGAGTCGCTAGTGGCTTTAATAGTGTATTCTGTCTTTTAACAGAATTCCAACCAAACAAAAAGGGCTGTCATTCTGAGGGGCCTGCCGTATTTCCTCCGTGAAGATCCTTCAAAGTTCCTCAGGACTGCAGAGGTAAGCTTAGTTATTGTTACTGAATGAATTGTTGAAACTCTGTTGCTAGCTGTAAATGTTTTAATGCCGGTGCATGTGGAAAACTGTCCCCATTTTATTCACCCTATCAATTTTGGTTACCATATATATATTATGGCATGCCGTTTAGGAAATGAACTTAGAATATATTGAATGAATGTTTGAATATATTGAATGAAAACTGACGTCATCAAGGCACTGGCGCCATCTTTAGTTTAGGCCTATCAGCTTCTACCTGAAGTGTTATTTCCAGCAACATCTCCGAGAGACCCTACGCAGACACACACACACACACACACACACACTCGCCAGTTTAAGACTCTACTGTTTACTTTCTGTTTTTTGTTTTTTTTATCTCTTAACATTTGCACTTTAATCTATTCTCTTAATTGTAATGTTATTTTACTTCTATTTAAAGTAAACAGTAGAGTCTTAAAGTGGCGAGTGTGTGTGCGAGTAGGGTCTCTCATTAGGTCAGTAGTCTGATGGTGTGCGGGTAGAAGCTGTCTCTGAACCTGCTGGTCCTGGTTCGGATGCTCCTGAACCACCTGCCTGACGGCAGGAGCGTGAACAGATTGCGGCTGGGATGGCCGGAGCCAGAGAGGATGTGCCGCACCCTCCCCCCGCAGCGCTGGCTGTACAGGTCCCGGACGGCCGGCAGCCCAGTCCCGCCGACCCGCCGCGCCGACCCTATCACTCTCTGCAGAACTCCACGCCTGAGGACAGCACAGTCGCCACACCAGGCTGCGAAGCCGCCAGCCAGGATACCCTCTTATGACAGACATGGAGGACAGCATGACGTGACTTGACTCCCACTGCTAATATTACTGATATTATTATTATTATTATTATTATTACAATTATTATTATTCATCATCCCCGATTGTTGTGTCTATTGTGGTCGTCGTTATCATCATCATCAGTAATTTCTACGAGTATAGTTGTTCATACCGTTGTGGCTGTGCACCTTTGTCTCTGTCCTTCTCTCTTTAACACCCATCCCCTCTTGAATTGAAATGAATTGAATTGAAGTAAAAGCACTTGGTATTTGTACTGCTCTGTGAAATGGGTGTGGCCACTTAGCAGACCATCTAGAGCCATCTGAAGTAGTTCAAAGTCAGACTCCTTTCCACTGATAAAATATGGTAGGGCAGGCTTTGGGATTCCATATGAAGTCGCATTTAGAAACTCACTGAATCACACTGACTTTTACAAATGAAGGATTCTATAAGATTAATAAATCTTAAAAGTATAAAAGTGACCTTTATTCTGTTATTATTTTGACATATGCATCATTTTTTAGATATCAGATGATGTTAACACAAGCACAGACTAACATATTGGTAAAAATGTATTTATTCTATGTATACTGAGCAAAGACTTATCTATCCAAATAAAACACAACATCAGTATCAGTAAAAGCAGGAGACAGCCTTATTGCTTGTAACCTCATTACAGTGAGGTGTGATTTCTCCCCCCTGAGAGACTGTTGGGCAAAAACTGGGCAGTCCTGGAGCATCACTGTTCACGTAACATTGTAACATTACACTTCCTTGTTTGTGGTGTTGGTGACCAGTGATGAATTTAGGTCTGAGGAGTTGTGAATAGGAGCTGTCCAAGGTGTCTGCACTACCAGCTGGTGGAGTATGGACCACCCATGACTTAAAGTAGAAAAAGACATTCAACTGTACACTCACTGCTAATCAAAGCTCAGACAGAGACTCAGTGCCAGAAGGTCATATTTTATTAAAGTCATTCCTGCAGCACAGAGAAAGTTCTTGTGTTAAAAACAGCAATGTTTGATCTACATTAACAATCTTCCAACTATTACCAACAGTTAATAATTTCTAATTAAAATTTGTACAGTTACAGTCAGAGTTAGAGACAGAAATAAACAACAAAAGCAAACAAAAGCTACCATATTTCATCTGTAAAGTAACAATTGACTAATAGCTGTCATATAGATTATAAAAAGACAGTGTTGTTCTTTGTGAGCAGAGTGAAAACCTCCTGAAAACTTTGAACCCTCAAAAAGACCTTTGAAGTCATAATGCGTAAGTGTCAGTTCTCGAAGGTAAACTGCACTTCAGGGGACTCCAACCACCACATTTTGACCCAGAAATACTGAGGACATGACCTCTGTATCCTCTGTGGTAGCTACGGCCCTGGCTATAGTTACTAGTTACTTTGCAGATAGATTTTACATACAGAACATTTGATCATTAATATGATTTATAGTTACATTAAACCAAGCAGACGTAATACTGTTGAATATTTAAGAATTAGAGGAGTAAGACATATATTACATTAATGGTGAACATGACCTCTTGCTCTTCTCCTTCATGAAGCTTCAATCTCAGTCACTCTGTTGACATCGTCTGCTTCTACTGCGTCCTGTGGAAATGAAACAACACAGAGAGAGAGTGGTGTTAGTGCTCTGCAGTGAGTTTAATGCAGCTGGAAGAGAAATGCCAGCAGCTCCTTGAGCTTGTTTTGGTAAATCGAAGCCTAATATAAAGTGAGATTAACTCTCCTGAATGAAATTTGGCCCATTGCATTCTGGTCTACAATCACTGCTGTTTATGGAGACATGGATATCTAAACATCATTGTTTCTGAAGGATTTCTTCTGTATGACTGTTGAACATTAATCTGCAAAGACGCCTACAAAGAAACCTTTGCTCTTTTATAACTGGAGCTTTTTCTCTGTTTTCTTCAAAGATAATTTCTTGTTGAAAGAATAATGTACCTGTCCTCATCTAGTAGCTTACCTTCACTGGTTTGTTGCAGCATCTTGATCTAAATCACATGAAAAAAAAGGAGATGAATGAATAAACATGAATTAAAGTTAAACATGAACTTCAAACATTTCAAAGAGATCAATAAGTCTTTATCTGCAAATGATCATATTATAGAAAAGTTATTCTCACCACTCAAAGATGATGATTGTACTGTAGAGCATTACGATTCCCAGGATCTTCACATAGACAAAAACCCCAAACTCTGGATTAACTGTTACAAGACAGCATGGTCACCTTCTCCTTAATGGAAAATATTACAGCTCCAAGACATCCTGAACTTTACATAATAAACCAACTTCATTCCTCATAAACCAAACTAAAATGTCTAATATAAAACATCTTTCATGACTGAGTTCTCACAAAGCTGAATTTCATTAACACAACACATTTTATTCAACCATTAATGCTCTCCACCCACCACTTCATAATGTGTGTGTGTTTCTCTTCAAATTCAATTTAATCTGTCTTTCATCACAAAAAAAAATCAGATTCAGTTCTACATTTACCTGCACTGTTCAAATTAATCCATGATGACGACTGAGTACCAAAATCATTTGTAGCCACACAGTAATAATCTCCTCCATCTGTTACATTGAGGCTGTAAAACGGTCCTTCAGATACATTCATGGGTCCATCTTTGCTGTTCTTGAACCAGGTGAAGCGGCTGACGGGAGGCTTGGCTCTGCTGGAGCAGGTCAGGTTCACCAAGCTACCTGCTGACACCAAACCTGATGGACTGATGGACACTGAGGTGTCTTTAGGAGCATCTGAGGAAAATGTGAGATTAACTTTACCCATTAAAAATCAGCTTATATCCCATGAATCATCATGTGCTGACAGGATCCAATAACAAACTCTGGTTGTCTTACATGAAACACTGAGAGTCTTTCTCTCCTCTGCTGTCTTGTTATCTTTTCCTTCATTCACAGGATATCTGACAGAACAGGTGATGTTGTATCCATCATGTTGGTCTGACAGAGTGATGCTCTCCTGGATTTTAGTTGTGAAGGTTCCATCTGTGTTTTCCTCTATTTGGTTGTGAGAGTCTTGTTGGAGATTCCAGGTGAGTTTAGGAGGGGAGTGTGGACAGGGAGTGAAAGCTGAGCAGGTTATAGTGACAGGCTCATCGTCTTTCAGATCACCTGAGATCTCAATTCTGGGGCTCGGAGGAGAATCTTTGGATTCAAATCAAACACATATTTTACACACACACACACACACACACACACACACACACACACACACACACACACACACACACACAAAGATTACAAATGACCAATTACGTTATTTTTTAAAATGGCAATGCTGACACTTATGTATTGAAACTGTATTAAGTAAACAAACAAACAATTTTTGCAGCAGCAGCAAAAATGAAGATAAACAGAAAAGAGTAACAAAATAATCAGATTCAGTTCTACATTTACCTGCACTGTTTAAATGAATCCATGATGACGACTGATTACCAAGATCATTTGTAGCCACACAGTAATAAACTCCTCCATCTGTCACATTGAAACTGTAAAACGGTCCTTCAGATACAATCATGGGTCCATCTTTGCTGTTCTTGAACCAGGTGAAGCGGCTGACGGGAGGCTTGGCTCTGCTGGAGCATGTCAGGTTCACCCAGCTACCTGCTGACACCAAACCTGATGGACTGATGGACACTGAGGTGTCTTTAGGAGCATCTGAGGAAAATGTGAGATTAACTTTATTCATTAAAAATCAGATGATATCCCATGAGTCATCATGTGCTGGCAGGATCCAATAACAAACTCTGGTTGTCTTACATGAAACACTGAGAGTTTTTCTCTCCTCTGCTGTCTTGTTATCTTTTCCTTCATTCACAGGATATCTGACAGAACAGGTGATGTTGTATCCATCATGTTGGTCTGACAGAGTGATGCTCTCCTGGATTTTAGTTGTGAAGGTTCCATCTGTGTTTTCCTCTATTTGGTTGTGAGAGTCTTGTTGGAGATTCCAGGTGAGTTTAGGAGGGGAGTGTGGACAGGGAGTGAAAGCTGAGCAGGTTATAGTGACAGACTGCTTCTCCTTCAGATCACCTGAGATCTCAATTGTGGGGCTCGGAGGAGAATCTGTGGTTTTCAAGTTAAACACACATTTTACAATAGAAGTACATTACATTAGAAATACATTAAACATACCTAAAAAGTCAGTCTATCTTTTGGGGATTTGTTTTTGTTTTCAGAATTTTTTCATAAAAAATGCAATGGTTAAGGCATTCTTCTTTTTTATTGTCCAAAAGGGATGAGCTAAGGCACAACACACTCAACTACTATGACTACCTAAGACTTTAAATACTGGCTGCTGGAATCTGAAATGTGTTAAATCATAAAACAAAAGACTTTAACAGCACTCCTATTTAACTTAATATTAATATTGCCACACAGCCATTTTGGGGGGTGGGAGCAGTTGCCGGTATGTAGCATCGATCAGCTGGCAATCCTGTGAGCCAGGTTGGGAAAAGCAGTTTTTTATGGAGTCAGAACAGTCTCATAATGGATAAATGCACACAGAAATAAATAAATGCACGAAAAAGGACTTTGGGGAGTTGTATATATATATGACTCAATACACAAATGCATTTTCAATGCACACACAAATATGCTTCAATCCAAATATAAGTAAAAACAAAATCCACATATATAAATAAGATTTGTAAACATATTTGTGATGCGCACACAACTATTTCCTGTTTTAAGTATGTGCAATAAAAATTCACAAATGTACAAATTGTCAGGTATTTGCAATTTTCATCAAATACAAATTTGGAAGTTGTTACATTGATAAACACTACCGTTCAAAAGTTTGGGATCACCCAGACAATTTCATGTTTTCCATGAAAACTCACACTTTTATTCATCAAATGAGTTGCAAAATGAATAGAAAATATAGTCAGACATTGACGAGGTTAGAAATAATGATTTTTATTTGAAATAATAATTTTGTCCTTCAAACTTTGCTTTCGTCAAAGAATTCTCCATTTGCAGCAATTACAGCCTTGCAGACCTTTGGCATTCTAGCTGTCAATTTATAAATAGTTCTAAATAGTTCTTGCATAGTTTGGAGGTGTGCTTTGGGTCATTTTCCTGTTGTAGGAGGAAATTGGCTCCAATCAAGCGCTGTCCACAGGGTATGGCATGGTGTTGCAAAATGGAGTGATAGGCTTCCTTAATCAAAATCCATTTTACCTTGTACAAATCTCCCACTTTACCAGCACCAAAGCAGCCCCAGACCATCACATTACCTCCACCATGCTTGACAGATGGCGTCAGGCACTCCTCCAGCATCTGTTCACTTGTTCTGCGTCTCACAAATGTTCTTCTGTGTGATCCAAACACCTCAAACTTAATTTATCTGTCCATAAGACTTTTTTCCAATCTTCCTCTGTCCAATGTCTGTGTTCTTTTGCCCATCTTAATCTTTTCCTTTTATTGGCCAGTCTCAGATATGGCTTTTTCTTTGCCACTCTTCCTACAAGGCCAGCATCCCGGAGTCGCCTCTTCACTGTGGACGTTGAGACTGGCGTTTTGCGGGTACCATTTAATGAAGCTGCCAGTTGAGGACATGTGAGGTGTCTATTTCTCAAACTAGAGACTCTAATGTACTTGTCCTCTTACCAATCAGATGTCTCACTCCTTTACAGCCAATCACATGAGTGCCTCCTCACGAGGGGTTTTTAACTGACGTCATTACAGCGCTCAATGGATCTAGAATGATATGGATCTCGATCATGATTTTCGCTGCGAGGAGACGGCGAAAAAAAGGAAACATGGCGTCTGGAAGCGACAACCGCGACAATTTAAGTGTGTGTTTAAGTGAAACATAACGTTTTGTTTTCTCAATCTTTTACATAAGTCATGTTACAGAATTGTGAATTAATTTTTTTTCCTAATTTGTGACGCTAGCTCGGTGGTGTTGGAATTATTTTTAGGCTGGCTGTGTAACTACGTTACATACCAAATATAATAACAATAACATGAAATCAGGTAATGATAAGAGTTGTATGCTTTACTAAGTAATATCCTGTAAGTAAGTTAACAGTAGTGAAAATTAAATGGCTGATTGACTGATCTAGATCCATATCATTCTAGATCCGTTGCGCACTGTAATGACGTCAGTTAAAAACCCCTCGTGGGGAGGCACTCGTGTGATTGGCTGTAAAGGAGTGACACATCTGATTCCTTGGTAAAGGGTAACTTTGATGACTTTGAGGAACACTCCGGCTACAACAAGTCTGGTCCAGGTACAGTATGTCAGAGTCAGAGTGGTAGAGGGTAGTGCTTTCTGAGGATATATCTCTGGGCTCAGCCATACTCTGCTGTGCTTTCCCTTACAGGTGTGGCAGGGCTTCTTCAAGTCACAGTCCTTATTCTCCTTAATCCAACTGACAGCCAGGTCTCTTGTAAGTGCAGTGAAGTCTGTCCACTGGCTCAAATAGTCTGCAGTGCTATAGTATAGCTATATCAGTGCAGTAGGGGCAGTGAACGTTTCTTTTGATTCATAGGTTGGGGTTTCTGTTCCCCTTTTACATGAAAAACTGAGTCTGTGGGGACACATTCAAGACAATCTGCCTCCAACTCCAGCCACATTGCAAGTTCTAGCAGAGCTGTTTTTACTTGGTTGGGGTTCTTCCTAATCTGTTTTTTCTGAATCCCTGCTGCTGCGGCCACAAAAGTTTATTTAATAGACGTTTTGCATTTGATCCACAGTGCAACTCCTCCACACTGCTTTGAGGGCTTTCAGCATTCCGGTAATGGCTTGTACACGCAGTGAGAAATCATCTAGAGCCCTTTTTTCTGATAGGGCCATCCATTCCGTCTGTCCAATGCCTGCAACACATTGGTATAAGGGGCGGATGACTCAGCATGTGTAAGGAGTCAGTGGGTATTTGGGGTCTTCACATACTTCAACAGTAAAGCATACTTATACTGTTTGGAGTGACTCTGGTGTAGTAGGTTACTGAGTGACAGACACAGTTCTACATACTGAGTCTGATCCTCACTGGTGAAATCTGGGAATGTTGGCCTTTCCATGTTGTGAAGTTGGTGGTAAGGAACATGCCATGAGGACATGAGGCAACATGGTAGTCAACAACTGGCTCCTGCTTAATAGGTGCAGGGTTGTGTTGGGCTGTGCAGAGAGGTTGACTCAGGTGGGCTGATGTCACGTGGTTACTGTAGACCTGTGGCTGAGCTTAGAAGTCAGTGTGCTGGATGCTATGTAGATGTGGATGATATTCAGGAATTATTGGAAGGGGCGGTAGTGGTAGGTAGCTAGCAGACTGGTGGATGGATGTATGGTGTAGCATTCTTTGTCAGGTCAAGGGGGTGAGTCTACTCTATTCCGTCTCTTGAACAGCTTTCAGGGAACTCTTGAATGAATGAATGAATCTTTTTCTGCTGCAGGGGGATGGACTGACCGTGACGCACGGAAAATAATGGCAATTCGATGTGCATACTGACTGGGGCTATGAAAGTTTATTTTAAGTATATTTTCTGATCTAAAGTTAATGATTGTGATTTACATATTTTAGAGACCCCCCCAAAATCATGTTTTGAGGTGAGCTGCAAGATGCAAGATCCAGGGCATTATGGGAAATGCCTGGCTGTTGCCTGATCAAAGAGCTGATTGGCCCTTGGATTGGACAAAAAACACTGTTTTCCTTATTTTCTGTGTGATTATCTTTAACTTTAGGGAAAGGATTCAAGATGGCGTAATGAGTGGCAACATCCTTGCAGGTTCCAGTGAAAAGTGTGAGTTTTTACCTTAAATTGGGAAATTTTTGTGCAACAACTCAGTATTGTAAAGCAAGACTACGTAGGGTCAAAGGTACACTGATAAAAACTACCAAAGTCTTTTGCTACTACTGAGACAGTGTACCTGCTAGAATGATTGACCACGACTACAACCTAATAACTCTCCATGAGGAATGTGATATCAAACAGATTTTGTGTGGTTGTTAATAATAAAGTTCATTTGTATATTGGAATGTGGTCTGAAAACTACAGGTAGCCTAAAGATGATCTAACAAGATGCAAAAATGTATGTGGCTTCCTGTTTATTCTTTGAAGGCTGCTGGAAACTGTCCGACTTGACTGCAGCTTTTTCTCACCTCCTCCTGCTGCTGCTGCCTGATCTCATCCACTTTACAGGCGAGGTGCAGCTCATCTCGAAAGAGCCTATTAATTTTTTTTTGTAGTCAGCATACACATTTCTGTTTTCTAGTGATTTAAATTTTTGTTATTTGAACGAGAAAGCAAAAATCTAAATATTTATACAAATTTGTTCGTTCATTCCTTTTTGTCCATGAAAAAAAAATCACTTTTAATACCCGTTTCTGATGCTGACAGTTTCGCATTGAAACCACATAAAGTGTTTATAAAACTTTGTTCTGCTTTTCATTGTACCAAAAAATCTTAATAAAAATCATTGAACTCCAACTGTAACAGCATTGTTCAAGCAGAATTTTAATTACCGTAAAAAAAATTATAAAGTGTGCTGTTTAGGCCAAAACTGTAACTGATTTCACTTTTTATTCTAAACAATAACATTATAGACCGACTGAAAGAAACAAAGCTCTCTTACCTTTAACTGTTATTTGAAGAGGATCACAATCAGCTGTTGCTCTGAAAGGCCAGTTCATGATTCTGAAGTAGTATTTGTCTGTATAACTTGTGATTAAACTGGAAAACAGAGTGGTGCAGTTTTTCTGACTCAGGTTTCCAGTAATATTCATTGGATACGTGTTAACTGTCTTACTACTGTTGAAAATCTCATTGTTTGGATAGAGGCCAAATCTGGGGTCAGTTTTAATCCACGCTCCAAAGGTTTCTCTGCTGCTGTTAAACTCTTGTTCTGATTTAGCTCTAAAGTTACATGGGATTTGCAAACAAGATCCACGCAGTGCTTCCATCTTCTTTGGTGCAGTAATGAAGAGCTTTGACTTCTGAGGACAATCAGCCAAAGCACCTGTAAAATCAGATTTATAAAATGTGGAAAAAATCAGCATGAACAGAAAGTTCATGATAAACAAATCAGCAGTGTGTTGCATGCTGGTCTTTTCCCCTGTCCTGTTAACAATTTCTATATAAAACATTTCACTTTGCAGTCAGGACATGAACAGTTGGAAAAAGTAACTCTATCTGCACTGGTCTTTCTGCTTTGTTTCTAAATGAAGTCCAAACTGTAAATGATTAACGTCTCCAAATAAAAGTGACTGAACAAACAGCTCACCTGAAAGAAAGAAGACACTCAGTAACATGTTGGCTGTCACCATATTCACAGACAGGACTGCAATCACACTCATCACCAGGATCTGAAAAAAAGTTACTTTTCAATATTCTTTTTTTATCAAACATCTTTTAAACAAATCCTTCATGTTGTTTTAAAGCAACCTCAGATTCACACATTCAAACCAGGAACTTGCCATGTCCAACCAGATGTTACTGTGTTATAAGTAGTGATGAATAATATCTGCAGAGTTGCTCTGAAAACAGTTTCAATATAAAATCAGAATGATCCAGTCTGAGTTTATGATATTATAGTTCAAATAACATGTTATTGAAGTAACTTCTCATTTCTTTGAGGATCATTTCTGCTAAAACAAAACCCAACAAATAAAATATATCATGTCTTTTTCAGTGGAGTTCATGAAAAGCAACAAAATAAAAACTCTCTGGGTTAAAAGGTTCAAACATAAAAAGCAGTAACATTTGACCTTACCAAACGAGCCTGCAGATAAACCGGAGAAACAATTAGTTTTAAAATCAGACAATCTGTGAATTTCAGCAGAACTGCAACAGACCCAGTAACAGACTTCCCTGCTAAACCGCTGTAACATAAAAGCAAACAGACTTCTTGTTTCAAACTAGATATCACACGACTAAAATACTGCAGCAATACAAGACGGCTTCACCCTTCCTGTTCGCACCCTGTGAGTGAGGAAGTCAGCTTTTGTTGCATCTTAACCTTATTAGGGTGCAAATTAATTACTCAGAGATGTTTTTTAACACATGACACACTACAAGTCTATATGCTTTATCTTCTCTACTGGCAGAAATTAATATAATATTTATAGATATTTTTTCATTAGTCTATAATTAGTTGAATATATTAAAAGTTTTGTTTTTGTTACCTTAGAATGAGACGTTTTTATCAACAGATGCAGCTGGTCACCTTCCATGGAGTCCGCCATGTTGAAGCACCATGTTTCTACAGTAGCCCAGAACAGACAAACCAATTACTGACTCTACATAGGGACTTTTGCGTTTTTCGGGGCCTCTATATCTTCTCCTGCTCACTTCTCAACCCTTTTTTCCTTCATTCTGAGGTTGTCGCCGTGAGTGGTGTTCAAGTAGTTGCAATCTGCAACTTCACGCCTTGATGCCTCTAAAGCCCTCACACTGGTCCTTTAATATTTAGGTGAACAGTAGATATAAAATGTACACATGTATACAGAAGGTGTTTTATCAGTAGTAGTCGTTCTTGTAGAACCCTTTTGATATTATAAAAATAGATGATTTGAGACCATGAGTGTTTTATTAGACTGTTATGCCCCTGTCTAGGGGGAAGGAGCACCACATAAATGTGTGATGAAAATGAACCTGATTCCCAAACGAACAACTAACACTGTTAACAATCAAGTGATGTGATTTATTTACAAACAGGTAAAACAAAGTGCAACAAAACCAAACCAAGGCAAAAATAACAAACAATACACAATCATACGAAAACACAATCTACTACTATCTTAACAATTCATGCTATCTCAAAAACACACACTCTCTAAGATCGAGGACAGAAGGATGCTGCAGCTGAGGGTTCTGTCTAAAGATTCTGTGCGGGTTGACGTTTTGAATCCCCGGCGGATTTTGTGGCTCCCCAGGAGAATCAATCAGGTGACACTCCACCAGCCGAGCCCACGGCATGGACCAGTGAGAGCAGACCTACGGGTTTCCGTCAAAGATCCTACATATGACAGGCGGCACACTCCTGCAGAGAAACAGGGACAAAAAAACCAACACACACCACAGACAAAAACAATACCGTAACATAATACTTATAATACGGCCAGGGCCGTAACATAGACAAATATGCAGGAAACTTCCTGTTTACTTACAGTTCTCAACTTTGTCTCAGTTCTCTTTTCACAACTTCATCAGTTTACATCCCACCTCTTCACCACCTCTCTCTGGCCCTCTCACTGTGGTTTACTAACCAGATACTTCTATTTCATACATGTTGGTAGCAGAGTTTTTATCACTGCTGCTCTGTAATAACGAGTGGATGAGAGAACCTAAGTGATTAAAAAGCTTTGTTCTCTTCAAATACAGAATTTAATGTGTTTAAAAAGCATATAGTCATCTACACATTTACACATAACCAGGGGCACCGCCAGGAATTTTGGGCCCCATGACAAAAAAATCAAATTGGGCCCCCTCTGCGCAGCTGTTGTCACCACATCTCTAGGCCCTAACTGTCCCATCAAAAGTTTTACACATGCAAGAAAACGACCTCACCGGGTCATTTTAGACCCAGTTATGCATCTAAGGGTTAATGATCATTATGTGAGAAAATAATTGTTAATAATGTGTTTGAATTTCTGTCATTAATACATATTTCATTTTCTTTTTTGTAATGGTAAAAAGAGCCAGAGAGACAGAAATCCCCACAGACTCCCTGCAATGATGCTAACTGGCCTGTCATTGAACACAATGCTGCTCAGCTTCTTCACTGGGACAGGGAGGGTACAGTTATTATTATATGGGGAGACTGGGGTGCTGCTGACTCATCTGTTGTTAAGTCTGCTAAAAGGGGCAGGGACAATGATTTAATATGAATACGTTGCTAAACGTTTCCCTGAACTGAAACTGTCCTATGGACATTAGGCCAACAGGTTAATAGCACTCCTTTCTTGGTGAAACACTGGGTTACAGATTGACATCCTTTCCTTTGTCTTTCCTCTCTCTCTTTTCTCTCTTTCCTTTTTGAAAACCAGATTTTGATTTACTAGTTAACATTGTGATCACTGTAGTTCTGGCGCATCTACTGACTGCAATAAACACCATCACTGATAAGTGCGCTAAAGCAGGACCAAACCATTTCATGCAGATACAGGGGAGTGGTCGGTCAATATGGATGTTTACTTTTTGGTCAATGGGGATATTTAACTTTTACTGCCAAAAACAAGTAAAAACAAAGACATCATTAATTGTATTATTAGGGACTGAGCCAGCAACCGCTGAAGGTCCCTATTGTATTTGCTATGTTTCTTCTTCTTCTTGCCTATTATTTTTAGCCCCTTTGACTGCATTTTTGCCCCCCTGAACATATACGAAAAGTCAATTTTATTTGGCAAAGTGGTCAGGCCTGGTGAAAATGGGGATATTCTATGGGTCGCTTTCAGGTTGGCCACTAGGTGGCGCTAGTATCATAAAAAATGCGTTTAGGCTAATAACTTCTGCATAGTTTGTCGCACATTCACAAACCTTGTATCCACGCGTTCAGTGAATAGAGCTGAATCTCCCCATATAGGCCCCGCCCACTTCCGCCTATAATTTTTCTCCGCTAGAGCGCGAAATGTCCTTAAACTACTTTTTCGTGTTCCTCCTATGTGCTTTGTCCGATTCGCACGAAAAGTTTCAAGTAGCATCTGAGGACCCTCATAACAAAAACTAATTAAAAGAATTTTGATATTTTAAAAAACCAGCACGTTATAAAATTAGCACTTCCTGTGGACCATTTCTCCACATTGGTATGTCCGATTGACACCAAACTTGGGTCCATAGTTCCACATGTCTTCCTTAGGCATCTTGCACAGTTTCAGGCCAAAGCCACAAGGTGGCGCTCTTTAAAATGAAGAAGTTTATATCTCTACAACGGTGTGTGTGATTAAGATGAAACTTGGTACAATGCTTCCCCATGGCTCCCTGAGGCTCACTAAAAAATGTGTCAACAATCCGCCACTAGGTGGCGCTCTGGTGGCATGGTAAATCACTGTGCGGAGACCGTAATAGTTATGAATATGAAATTCACAGGGCACGTGTAGAGTGGTGCCTGAAGCTCACATACCAGAAATCGTGCTTGTCGTGTTTGTAGCGCCCCCTACAGGATAAAAAAACAGCAGCCCCGGCGCCATGTTTCACTGATATGTACGAAACTCGGTAGGCACGTGCAACATGGAAACTCCTAGGGATCTGCTTCAAAATTGGTCAGTCCAGTCAAAAAATAGATTAAAAGTTGTGCTATTTGTACGTTGAAGGGCGTGTCCGTGGCTTGCCGTCAAAGTTGGCCACTTTGAATTCTGTGGTCATACAAACTGATTGAAAAGTTGAGCTATTTCTGACTGTACATCAAACCGCGTGCCAGTGACAATTTGCCAAAAATAGTGCTCATAACTTCAGTGTGCAATGTCCAATCTCCAATAAACTTCATATATTCTGAAACAGTTTTGCCCTGAACACGTCCTCATAACTTCAGCGTATGTGGTCCAATCTCAATGAAACTTCATGTGTGTTATAACAGTCCTGCCCTGAACTTGTCTATATGACAATATTAAGACATAGTGATAGCGCTACCTACTGGCAACAGGAAGTAAGCGCTGCGTGGTAATTTTGAGCTGATTTACATGAAATTTCATGTTTTGGTCCGCACGTGTAACGACGGCACATGAAGCGACTGCAGCACGACGACGTAATTCTGTTCCTAAAAAAATTTAATAGTTCCATCCCAGCACTTATAGATCTTATTGAAACCTTTGGAAAAATATCTGGATACAAAATTAATTATTCAAAATCTTCTATAATGTTACTTAATGAATCAGATAGGATAAATGGCAACGTTCATGTCTCTCCTTTTAACTCTACAGATAATTTCACATATTTGGGTATAAAAATTTTCCCTGAGGTGAACAAGATTTCTCAAATAAATATGACTCACTGCAGGAAACTACGGCCTCATCTCTAGAAGGCTGGACATCATTACCAATATCAATGATTGGCAGGATAAATATCCTAAAAATGAACATCCTTCCTAAATACCTTTATTTATTCCAAAATATCCCCCTACCCCCTCCCTCTTCCTTGTTTACTAGAACTAGAAAATTGTTTACCAACTTTATTTGGCAAAATAAACGTCCAAGATTACCCTTATCCTTAATATATCTACCATAAGACAGAGGAGGCCTTCAGTGCCCAAACATCCAGTGGTACTACTGGGCAGCTCAACTGCGGTCCATCATGTTTTACTTCTCTTCTGAAAACACCCCTGCCTGGATAGACTTGGAATCCTGCTCGGTGAGGCCTAGCTTACCACTTCACTTGTATTTGAACATTAATCCGTCTTGGTCACGTTTTAGTACTATTTGGGGTAATGCCAATTTCAAACCAGGGAGTAGCGATCCAGGATTTCGAACATGGGCTGAAAAGGGATTAAGGACAGTGCAAGATATGTACAGAAAAGATTATGTATTTATGTCCTTTTCAGAAATATCAACCAAATATAACATCCCAAAACCCCAAAAATGTCTTTAAATACCTTCAAATAAGGAATTTTATATCGTCATCTCAATACTATTCATTAGACATACCTATTACTTCCTCATTAGAGACAGCAATTACAGGACATTGTTATGGTAAAGGTTTAATTTCATCCCTGTATAATTTGCTCATATCCGGGTCTGATGAATCTTCAAATCATAAGTTGAGACTGTGGATGGAAGATATAGGTGATGAAATATCACTACAAGACTGGAAAGGGGCATGTATGAAAGCTCAGAAACAAACAATTAACAGCAACCTGAAACTTATTCAGTATAAGTGGCTGATGCGTACATACATAACCCC